AATACAATAATAAAATTTTAATGCAAATTTATTCGCATTTATTGAAAATAAAGGTGTTGAATGAGTATTTTTTTCTCTTAAAATTGTGAATTAAACGGTTTCACAGAAGGGAGACGTTGAGGAATATTTATATCAGTCTGGAAGCGCCTCGAGTTCTCACAAATTTGGTTAACTGCATATTTGATTATGCAAACGCCTTCTTCGAATTAATCTTCGGTATTGATGCTTCCCGAACGGGACGAACATAAAATTCAATACCCTCCAATTTCGTGCGGCGCGTAATGCTCGACGCAAAGTGTGTTTGCAATTTCTAATTTGTGCTATACATTATTGGATAAAGAGCGCAATAAATCGGCGACTCCGGTAGGGTCTACTGGATTTAATTACACTGTGGCCAGCGGTGCGCAAAACCTGTTTGTACGCCGTAGAAGAAGTCCGTTTGGTTGCGACATTGCAAATTTACGTTCTCCATACTAAAGTTACGCCACAAAGGCCATCGATCGTTTATAAATAATGTATTAGTACTCCCGCAAGAATTCTGTAGGTGGTAATGCACGAAACTCGATAGTCAGATGGTAATATTTTTTTGTTCTGTGCGATTGGAGTCAACATTCCAATTACAGAAACGTCATTTTGAGAATTACGTCATAATTTTCAAAGATGAAAAATTTTCTCTCTGAAGATAAAAGGTTTTTCTTTTTAAAGATAACTTAATTTTGTAGAACATGTATATCATCTTTTTCTGCAATTTGCAGATGTTAGAAATAACACACAAAATGTTTCATAACTCTATGCTTTTTTGTTATTTATTTATAGATATTAAATCAATTAATTTTTTTAAATCCCATACTAATTATTAGATATCGAATTTTTATGCAATTTCATATTTTTTTAGGAAGCAGATTAGAAAATAATATAAAAATAGAAATTCGTCTTATTAAAAAACATTTTAAAAATGCATATTTACTTATGCATATTTGTGCAAATTTACATATTTTGTGCATGTTTGTAAAAAATATCTGTATAAAAATCCGAAGTTTACTATAATTATATGGAAAATTAGGTCTCAGTGAAATGAGTTATATAATTTTCACATACACAATATAGCTTATAATATAGTGAACAAGAAATGGACCAATAATGGATTTTTAAGCTATGGCATGTCAAAAGTACATATAAAGACTATAATATCAAATACTCTTAAAAAAGCAATTCACATTTAATAAAATATAAAGAATCTATGTCTATTCTTAAATTTTTGCCTCTTGAATGGCAAATGGCTATCATTCGTAAGTTCATTTCTTCAGCAATTACCTCGATAAACATTAACTTAGATAGCCAGGGAAAAAGTGTAATCGGTTTCTACAACCAAAGTTGCGTAAAAAAAAACGATATTCAGACTGATTTATGTTTATCATCAGCTATAAGGCGTAATTAATACCATCGCGGTAACATCGTCCACTCGATTTTCTCGATTTACGTACAAGGATTGGCTTACTTACTCCCGATGGCATTTCAGCTACGGGATCTTCGCGCGATTCAGCATTGGATAACGACCGACTGATTAACGATCGCTAAGCTTACCCCGATAAAGCAAGAGTCAGCGAAAGCAGCGACAGTCTCAACCACGATTGAACTCTGACCCATGTAAGACGATGACGACGACTATGAATCCACGAAACTAAAAGCGGCGTCCGGTTCTATATGAGCCAGGTGATAGATAGTGTCATCTTGTACGAAAGATATTGCCAGCTTACGGACGCACGGAACTTCGATAAGTCTGACTGCTTGTAGTTAGGTACGCACCTCCGCGCATTACGGCATTTCTCTCGTATTTTTGCGACGTTCGCGTGTTCCTCTGCCGGTATTTATAATAATTGATTATACGGGTCACCATATAGGTACATGTGGCGAATTAATTAACTGTGATTACATTATTTAACGTGAATTTTATCCCATATACATGTTTGTGCTTGTATTTAATGATAAAAACGTCTATTATTTTTAACATTGGAACCGCCGTATCTCGCTAGAACTGCTAATTTGTTAATTTCCTATCCACGTTTTCAATTAGTGAAAAGTTACTTTGGTATCATTTGTATCGTTAGAATTATCTGTGTTATATTCATATATTTTCAATATTCAAGAGTGTCAAATTTTCACTCTCTTTAAAGTGAGATTTATTCTTTTGGAATGAGATTTATTCTGAAAGAGTGAAATCTCAATTCTCTTTTTGAAATGAAGTTCCTGGTATTACACTCCAAAAAAAGGGATTGAAATTTCAATCCTTTGGAATGAATCTCATTTCAAAAGAATAAATCTTACTCTAAAAAGAGTGAAAATTACTACTCTTGAACAAAAGTGGTAATATTTTCACTCTTTTTTCAAGGCTCAATATTCAGTCTCTTCGAGTGAGATTTTACTTCACGAGATTTAGAGAGATATTGTATATTTAATTTTTTAAAAAATTGAAATAATTATCAGAACCAAAATAGCATAATATCGGCACTTTTTAATACCTGAAATAAATAAACATCTCTTTCTTTTTATTTCTAGAAAATTGTGCCACAGATTATACCTGTCAGCAAAAATAGTTAATGTTATCTAAATGGTAGATATTAAAATATTGCCTGTTTCTATTTCAAGTTATTACTTCAAACTTCATATGAGTATCATATAATACATACAAATTATTTTACGTCTACTATAATTATAGTCTCTGAAATTATGGAAGTACGTAATACCTGTGTAGAAAACTGTGTAAACGTCATCTATCATGAAGAAGATTGTATCACAGCATCTCTTCGATAACACGTCGCGATAATCAGCAAATTAGTTTAACAAGTACTTACAGTCCAGCGAGATACTGCTGGGCGCTTCCTGCCGCGATGATGATTACGAAGCTAAACGTGCCGTATTACGCACATACATAACATTGATTATATTGATGATGGCAGTCGTAGTGCAAAAAACACGAACGACTGAAACGCTTGAGAAATTAGAAATGGATCGATCAATTTTTTTTGTTTTGAAGGTTTGTTGAATTCTTGACTTTTAACGGAGTTTTCCGACATTAGTTGTCTCAAGCTCAACCAATTTTCACCGCGATCAAGCAATTTCAACATCGTAACCGTAAATTACGTTCCGCTGGATCGATTTGATGGTAATCTATGATGAAAGAAGCGGCGACGATTTCCGCGGTAATCTCCGCACCGAGCGTCGTCGATCCGAGCGAATAGACAAGATAGGCATAGAGATTCAGCATCGCGTTTTCAATTCGCAAAACATCCCTTCCAACGCATTACGCGTCAAGAAAGAGTCCTAACTACGTAACTACATCAAATCATTATCATTCAACGTCTGTTCCAGCGGCGGGCGCCAACCGGGAGGCACAACTTCCGGCTACCGCGGCGTATCGCGCGCGACTAGCCTTGACACCTGCTGCTGAGATTGACACAGGGAATGCAGTGTCATTCGTTTGATTAGTCGTGAAATTAATATTGAAGTATCACTTGAAGCGAGTTGCGAGAGATCTTTACCGGCTCGTTTAAAGAGAAAAATGTGGAAATTATTCAGGATATCAAATAAAATCCTTATTTAAATATATGAAAAAAATGCTTTGTTTAAATTCCTTACAAAAAATAATAATACTTCTCTCAAATATACGAATGTCAGTAATTTTTTTTTATTAACAATGTTATGTATTTTTTTTAACTTGGAATTT